GTCTTGGGGAAAAAGGGAGGACATCTCGAGCGGGAGCGTTGTTCTTGCTGGGAGCGGCGCCAATTCAAAAGAGAGTAGGGCGCCAGTTCAGCGTAAAACGCAAGGACGTCTCGGGCGGGAGCGCTGGTTTTGTCGGGGCAGCGGTTTTCGGCGGCGAGGAACCGCGCCGCCTTGAGCAAGAAGAAAGAACGTCTCGAGCGGGAGTCTTGTTTTTGCTGGGGGCGGCGCCGATGAGGGAAATACAAGCGCGCCAGTCCAAGGTAAAACGGGAGGAAGTCTCGAGCAGGAACGCTGGTTTTGTTAGGACGGCGGCTTTCGGCGGCGAGCAAGAACACCAACCCTGCGTAAAAAAGGAGGAAGTCTCGAGCGGGAGCGTTGTTTTTGTTGTTGGGGGGCGGTTGTGGCGGTCCCCCAAACCGCTCGAGCGTGAGCCTCATGTTCAATGAAAGTGTAACCGGCGCCTCGGCGAGATCGCCACAGCGCCTTTAAGGTGTCCAACAATAATAACTTTTTAGTAATCCACAATCAACAACAACAGCAACAACAACAGCAATCACTTTACCCGAACGCTCAGTGTTCTCACCAGTGCCAGGGTTTTCATGCGACGCCAGCCAATACCCCCACTTTGTGGGGGGGCAGTGCAAGCTCTACCAAATATCCACACGACTCTTCGCCACCACCCACACCCAGCTTCCCGCCCTATGACGTTCGGACACTTCACTTCGTGGCCTGCGGACGACCGTGGCTACTACACTGGCGTGGAGTACAACCATTGGTTTTTTTAGGATTCGGACAGCGCGCGCGGGTAGAAATTTTGAAAAGTCGTGCAGGTGTTTTTCGAGGACCTACGGTGCGATTCGTGTGATTTTATGATGCGCGGTGCTAAAATTCTTAAAAACCCAATGGTTTTTGGAGATTTCGGCGTGCGCGCGCGAAGAAAAAACGAATGTGTCCCGCATGGTATTATTTGACAGGGATGATGGCCCTGGCAGGTGCGCAACCGTTGTCGCAGAAGTTCGAAAAAGTTGCTCGCAAAAGCCCGTTTGACAGAAATGTTTAAAAAGTGTTGGTTTTCCTACGAATCCGCAAGAGCGCGCGGGATGAGATTTTGACATTTTTTTGTTGAAAAACCATTGGTTTTTTGATGTTTTTATGTTAAAATCGCTCCGAACACTAAGCTTTTGGAAGGATTTCGTCTTGCGCGCGCGAATGTCCACTTTACCTTATTTTTTGCAAGGGATTCTTGAAATTTGATTATATTAGAACAAGAAATGTCATTTTATAGTGTTTTTTGCAAGGGAAAACGGATTACAACAAAACAACCGGATCTTGATGACATCGTATTACCTGAGGCTTCCTCACGAAAATGATGAAAATGTAGCTGCGGCCTAGGCGGCGCAGGGGGGCCGTGCACCAGGGGTCCCAACAATAATTATTCTTTAGAATTAATAATGTTCAACAATCATTTTAAGACTGTTCGCTCTTATCTGTTTGCGTGCCATTCAATATGCATATCCCAACCCTGGATACCCGCCCTATTCGTCTTCGATCGTAGCCCCTTTTGGGGGGTATATTCATTCCTTGCCATGTATGGTTGGTGAAGCCATTGAAAACGAAGGCTAACAGATAACGGGGGAGAATGAGGGCGAAGGGATCGGAGGAAGGGAGGGGAGGGGCAAGCGAAGGGGCCACGAAGGGCAGCGAGAGGGCCACGAAGGGCGACAGCGGGGCTACGAAGGGCATTCGTATGGGGCCACGACGGGCGACTCCGAGCGGGGGCCACGAAGGGCATATAATGCGGGGCCACAGTGGGCAGCGACGGGGCCACTGAGGGCAGCAACGGGGCCACGAAGGGCAGCGAGCGAAGGCGACCGCGGAACCAGTACGGGCAACGAGGGGCATCGAAGGCGGGCGAAGGGCAGCGAGCGGCGACTGCAGTCCCTAACGGGCTGGTCGGGCGGGCAGGCCCAGACGGGCGGGTCGAGCGGGCGGGTCGTTGAAGCGTAATTTTTGTTTGAACCGCCATGTAGTATGTAGCGGGAGCGCGATTCCTGAGTGTCGAGTCCGAGGAGCGGCATCAGCATGAATTGTGAGGAGGTATTAGGCGGGAGCCGCGATTCGGTGGTAAGTTGCCAGGAAGTCCCAAGCGAGGACGCGATTCTTCAATACATAGTGGAACCGCGATCCAGTGGTAAATTGCAAGGAAGTCCCAAGCGAGAGCGCGATTCTTTAATAACTTGTGAGGATGTGTCAAGCGAGAGCCGTTGTTGTTGTTGTAAACCGGGGGCCAACACCACAGTTTGACCCTCAAGATGTTCCAGGATAGAAAAATAGCGTGGGAGCCCCAAGAATGGCACTTCAATCGAAAAAACAATTTGCACGGGACGGGGGTATCAACAATAATTTGGTTTCAGGAATGAGAGTTCAACAACAACAACAACAATAACAACAAAACCAACAACAATAATTTTAAGACTGCTCGCCCTTATATGCTCGAGTGTCCAATAACGCGCATTTCCCAAACCCTCGATACCCGCCATCTTCGTCTTCGATCGATCGAACCCCTTTTGGAGGGTATACATTTCTTCCCTGCAGGCCGGGCCCCGGCAAGCGGCGGGGCGGTTGCGGACCGTCGGCCTGGCCAGTGGCAGCGCTGATCGGCGGGGCGGCCGCGGACCGTCGACCCGACCCCAAGAGGGACGGACAGGGGACCGACCACGACGACGACGACGACGACGTCGAAGACGACGGCGACGACGACGACGACGGCGACGACGAGCGAAAGCGAGAGCGAGAGAGCGACAGCAGGGCCACGAAGGGCACGAAGTAGGCCACGAAGGGCGACAGCGGGGACACGAAGGGAATGCTGATGGGGCCACGAGAAGCGCGAACGAGCGGGGGCCACGAAGTGCAGATAATGCGGGGCCACAGAAGGCAACTTTGGGGCCACTGAGGGTAGCAATTGGGCCACGTAGGACAGTGAGGGGGACACAAATGGCGACAGCGTGGCCACGAAGGGCATGCACATGGGGCCACAACGGGCGCGACTCCTGGGTGCCTGGGTGTCGGGAGCGCGGCGACTGGGCAAATTGCAAGGAATTCCAACGCAAGGCTATTCTTCAGTAAGTTGCAAGCAAGTCTCCAGCGAGAGCGCGACTCCAGAGCGCCGGGAGAGCGATTCCTGAATAAATTGTAAGGAAGTCCCAAGCGAGAGCGCGATTCCTGAATAAAATGCGAGGACGTCTCGGGCGGGAGCGGGGGTCCTGGCTAAATAGTGAGGAAGTCTCAAGCGGGAACCGTTGTTGTTGTAACCCGGGGGCCAGGGGGCCAGTTTGAGCAGGAGGATTTTTCTTGTCAAAAAATCAGGGTGCGAGCGTCGAGGGGCACACTTTGATTGAGAAAAACAATATGCACCGGTGGGGGGGGGATCAACAATACATATTCTTCAGAATTGAAAATTCAACAACAACAAAAACAACGCTCCCGCTCGAGACTTCCTCCTGTTTTACTCAGGGCTGGTGCTCTTGCTCGCCGCCGACAGCCGACGTCCCAACAAACCCAGCGCTATCGCTCAAGACTTTTTCCCGTTTTACTTGGGACTGGCGCGTTACTCTTTCTCTCATCGGCGCCGCCCCCAGCAACAACAACGCTCCCGCTCGAGACTTCCTCCATTTTATACTCAAGGCGGCGTTCCTCCTCGCCGCCGAAAACCGCCGTCCCGACAAAACCAGCGCTTCCGCCCGATACTTCCTTTCGTTTTACGCTGAATTTGCGCCCTACTCTCTTTTGAATTGGCGCCGTTCCCAGCAAGAACAACGCTCTCGCTCGAGGCTTCCCCCCTTTTCCCCTAGGACGGTGTTGTTCCTCGCCGCCGACAGCCCCGGTCCCGACAAAACCACGGCTCTCGCTCGAGACTTCCTCCCTTCTTACTCAAGGCGGTGCTCTTCCTCGCCGCCGACAGCCGCCGTCCCAACACAACCAGCGCTCCCGCTCGAAACTTCGTGTTGTTCCACGGTGGACTAGCGCCCTACCTCCTGCAGTGGCGCCTGTCCCAGCAACAGCGGCGGCCCTGCTCGAGACGTCCTCCCTTTCTATTCAGGGACAGGTCTTTGCCTCGCCCCCAACAGCCCCCATCCCCACCAAGCAATCCTGTCGCTCGATACTTCCTTGTGCTTTACCCTTGGCTGGGTCTCCACTGGCGGTCTCGCATCGGCGCAGCAAGACGCGGGCATGCGTTTTCGAGGCGGGATATGCTGAAATTCCTCGGAGGAGGTGTTTGCAAGACCTCATTGGGCGGGAGATCTGGGAATGGGAATAACGGACCCCGCTATAGAACAATAGTCCCCCATGACGTAGATGGTTAGCATGATGGTCGCATGCTGCGTGTGGAAGCATCGCGCAAGAGGGCAACATGATTGTTGTTGTTGTTGCTGTTGTTGCTGTTGCTGTTGCTGTTGTTGTTGCTGTTGCTGTTGTTGCTGTTACTGTTGCTGTTGCTGTTGCTGTTGTTGCTGTTACTGTTGCTGTTGCTGTTGCTGTTGCTGTTGCTGTTGTTGTTGCTGTTGCTGTTGCTGTTGCTGTTGTTGTTGTTGGAGGAACGAAGTGCAGCAGTGTCCGCATCAGGAAGGGTGGGGTTCGCCAGGTCTCTGGCCAAGTGCCCATTAGTGGAGTCCCCGGCAGGGCGGCGCTGATGAGACCCCCCAGGGCACTTCTCAGAAGGCCCGGGTCTTCTGAGAAGCCTTCCGGCCGTCCTACGGAGGCCAGGGTGTGGTGCCCCCACCTCCGACGTCGCGCTTTCTTTCTCGTGACGCGGGCCCTCCCGGGGTAGGACCCGTTTTCCTGTGACTAGCTCTTCGGTCTGAGTTGTTTGTGTCGGCAGCCCGGGGGCACCGAAGAAGGCTTCCAGAGAGCCAGATCCAATGCAGACCGGCCGTCGCGTTCTCGCTTTGCTCACAGCATCGGGCCCTGGGGGGCGGTGGACTTTTTCCCTCTGCCGAGAGGCCCTGCTACAGCAGAGCGGGCGACCATGAGATGTACCTCTACTGGAACAGGGCCTGGTACATCGGCTCCGCCTTCGGATCGCGGGATCCGGCCCAGGCTTCTCCTGATCCTGCGTTGCTGCTCCTCCCATTCCCCCCCTGACTTCTCCGCCCCCGTCGTCGACGAGGATCGAGGGTCGAGGGTCTAGGGAATTGATGGTTATTTGGTCTCTCTCTCTCTCTCCACCCAAGGTCCTCTCTCTCTCTTTCTCTGTCTCTCTCTCTCTCTGTATGTCAGCCAGCGTGGACCCCAAACCGTGTATTTCTAGCAGTTCGTTTTGTGCAATATATGTGGAGCAATATATGCGGTGCAATCCACTCTGCTGAACTTGAAGTCGTCATCTCCACTGCTCGCGCAAACATCCCACCCACCCACCCGCAACTTGGTTTGCAAAACCTGTTAAGACCGACTACGACGACACCGACGACAACGACTAGGACGACACCGACGACGTCTCCGACGACTTCGGCGACGACAACGACGCCGACGCCGACGACGACGAAGACGACGACGACGCCAACGAAGGCGACGACGAGGGTGGAGGAAGGACGACGACGGCGACAACGACGACAACGACGGCAACGACGAGGGAGGAGGGAGGACGGCGACGACGCGAACGACGACGGGGAGGAAGGACGGCGACGCCGACGACGACAACGACGAGGGAGGAGGGAAGACGACGACGACAACGACGACAACGACGGCGACGAAATAGGAGGGACGACGACGAGACGCCGACGACGGACGACGACGACGACGACGACGACGTGGGAGGAGGAGGAAGGACGACCACGGCGACAACGACGACGGACACCACGACGCCAAAGAGGACGACGACGACGAACACGAGAAAAGACAGAGGACGACGTAGGCGACGACGACGACGACGCGGGATGAGGGAGGACGGCGACGACGGCGACGACGACGACGACGACGCAAGAGCGCGCGCGCACGCTTTTGTTGAAAATCCGTGTTGCGAAACCTTGGATTTTTGTAGGTTTTTTGGACGCACGATTTTGAAATCCTTCCGGAACCGATGGGTTTGGAAGGTTTTCGGCGTACGCCCGCGACGACGCGCGCGTCTGCACTTCGTCCCGTTTTTTGCAGGGGATTCTCGCGACGGCACACGCGCAAGGGCGTTCGACAGATTTCGACATGCGCGCGCGAAGCCCGTTTGGTAGCATTTTGTGAAAATCTGGAAAAACTTCATGGTTTTCTTAAAAGATTTCGCAAGAGCTCGCGCGGAAACTTTTTTAGCAAACCAGTGTTGCGAAAACATGTGTTTTTGTAGGTTTTTTTGGGGAACTCGATTGCGAAATTCTTCCGGCACCGAAGGTTTTTGAAGGATTTCGGCATGCGCGCGCGACGACGCGCGCGTGTGCACTTCGTTCCTTTTTTGGCAAGGGATTCGTGAACAAGTGTTCTGTAAGAACAAGAAATGTCACCGCATAGTGTTTTTACAAGGGAACTTCAGGGGGGGGATACCGGTTTGGCTGGGATGATATGATTTCATATTTAGGATGGACGAGTGTGCAGATTATACATATATATATATATATATATACACACACATATATATATATATGAAATTCTACTATCCCAGGGGGAAGCGTTAAGTCCGGGGGGGGGGTAGAGTCTATTCTCTCTTTAGAATGGAGAGTCAAGGTGGTGCAACACCAGTGTGGCGCAATCTATGCTGTGCCATCTATAGTGTGCAATCTAGGTAGTGGGAATATGTTGTGCAAGCTATGTCGTGCAATCTATGTCATGAGATCTACATTGGGCAATCTGTGTGGTGCAGTGTATATGGCGCAATCAATCACTCGCTCAACTTGAAGCTGTCCTCTCCACTGCTCGTGCGAACATCCCACCCTCCCACCCTCAACTTGGTCGCAAGACCTCTTAAGTCCATGACGGCAGGTACCAAATGGCACTTAGCAACGACACCGACGCCGACGACGACGAAGTCGCCAACAACGACTACGACGACACCGACGGCGTCTCCAACGACTTCGACGACGACGACGAAGACGACACCGACGACGATGACGCCGAGTCCGACGACGACGATGACAACGCCGACGACGACGACGACGCCGACGACGCCGACGACGACGATGACGACGCTGACGACGACGACGAAGACGACGACGACGTCGCCAACGAAGGCGACGACGACGAGGGAGGAGGGAGGACGACGACGGCGACAACAACGACACCGACGAGGGAGGAGGGAGGACGGCGATGACGCGAACGACGAAGGAGGGAGGACGGCGACGCCGACGACGACAACGACGAGGGAGGAGGGAAGACGACGACGACGACGTCGACGAAATAGGAGGGACGACGACGAGACGCCGACGACTGACGACGACGACGTGGGAGGAGGAAGGACGACCACGGCGACAACGACGACGGAAACGACCACGACGCCAAAGAGGACGACGACGACGACGAGGAAAGAAAGAGGACGACGACGGCGACGACGACGACGACGGAAAGGGACGGCGGCGACGACGACGACGACGCAAGAGCGCGTGCGCACGTTTTTGTTGAAAATACGTGTTGCGCAACCATTTGTGTTTGTATGGTTTTTGGAAACTAGATTTTGAAATCCTTCCGACACCGAAGATTTTTGAAGGATTTCGGCATGCGCGTGCGACGACGCGCGCGCGTGCATTTCGTCCCGTTTTGTTGCAAAGGATTCTCGCGACGGCACGCGCGCAAGGGCGTTCGAACCATTTTGATATGCGCGTGCGCGCGAAGCCCGTTTGGTGCCTTTCTTTGAAAATATTGAAAAACCTATGGTTCACTGGATTTGGCAAGAGTGCGCGCGTAAGCTTTTATAGAAAGTCTGTGTTGCGAAACTATATGTTTTGTATGTTTTTTGGGGAACTCGATTTGGAATCCTTCCGAATTGTTTGGAAGGATTCCGGCATGCACGCGCGACGACGTGTGCGTGCGCATTTCGTTTTATGATTTTTGTGAAACGAGTGTGCGCGCATAGTATTTTTTGCAGAGGATGGCGGGGGGGCCGATACCAGTTTGGCTTGGATAGTATGAATTCACGGAGAGGATGGACATTGGGTCAGAGTCCTATGTCTTTTGCATCGGTTCCCGCGGGGTCTTTAACCCCGAGGGGAGGAGGGTGGTATAATTTATTTTCTTTAAAGGAGAATCAACTTTGGAACGCGTGGGGTTGACAGCTCCACTGCTCGCGCAGTCATACCACCCACCCACATGCAACTTGGTTTGCAAAACCCATTGGGCGGCGATTGCGACGAATGCTTGGTGTTGGCTGGTTCATCTCTGCGGCCGTGCTAGCCCGCGCATGCTCGCGCGCACAGCGGTCAGCTAGTTTGGCGCGACCTACGCGGTCGCGTTGGCGCTGACCGCTGGGCATTCCCCAGCGGGCACTCCAGTGCGAGTAGGTGAGTTGGTCGGGCGCGGTATCATTGCGACGTCGACAAACGTAGACGCGAGGATGGCAGTCGCGATGGTGGTGACGACTATGACGATGACGGCGGCAAGGCCAACGACGGCGCCGATGTTGATCACGCCGATGACGATGACGATGATGGAAGGATTTCGACATGCGCGCGCGGCCGACGTGCGCGAATGGCCCACGTTTCAGTATTTGACACGGGTCGTGCCCCCTCCCGAGCACGCGTTCAAAGGCGCTCGAATGAGTCAAGAGACTTACGCCGCATCCGCCGACCCTTTGTCATTGCATGGGGCCAACGGGAGGGCGATGACGAGGAAATGGCAGATGCGGAGAACGAGGAGGGGAAAGGGGATGAGCAGGAACAGGACACATCAGCATTCTTGATGAGCTTATGCTAGAGCTGTTCGGTAGTTTCCCCCCCCCGCCAGTCTGTATGAATGATATGTTGTTAGTGTTTGCGCATGAAGGTCACAGGGGCCAGGATGATGCATGTTTTGTTGTGCGCGAGATTCAGAACACCCGACCATTCGTTTCGGAAGGTACTGATGTAACGTTACAGGCTGCAGCGTGCAATCGTCGTGTGAAGCATGTGATAGCGGAGCCCGTACACTCAGACCAGGGCGGGTGCTTGCCAGGGCGCAAATCCTTAGATAATGTAGCGCTGTTGGGCACGACTGCTCGCACATCAAATGGATCCGAGGGCCGACTCGGACCTTCCTGCTCTCCTCTTCTTCGACTTTGGCAATGCTTTCCCCTCCTTCCTCCACGTCTCCATTTGGGAAATCCTCTCCAGGTGCGGGTACCCGCTGGGATTTCTGAGTCCAGCTCAAGCCACCTATGCGTCTGCCTTCGGTGCCTCTCCTGGAAGCCTTCAGAGAGTTTTGTATCGTCCTGTCTGGAGTAATGCAGGGTGACCCTGCGTCAGGCCCATTGTGGGCGTCACTGATGGACCCGGTAATTCGAGACATGCGCAAGAGGCTTCGGACACATCTTGGTTCGGAGGTTGGGGTGTGTGCGGATGGTGTGGTGGCTTTGGTTGTTCAGCTCGCAGCCCTTGCGCGTCTCTCGGGAGATTTTTCTTATGCGGCCGAGCTCTTAGCAGGACTCAGGCTGATGATTCCTAAGTGCCGACTGGTCCCTGTTTCGCAAGCCTTTCCGCCTGAATTCTAGCAGCGCGTCTCGGAGACTCTTGCCCAGCTAGTGCCGCAATGGAAGCACATGCCTGTGGTACCAGTGGCTGACTATTGAGGCGTGTGGCTTGGTCCAGCCGCGAGGGATGAATGGTGGGCTCGAGCGTTCCGAGAGTGGATGAGAGTGATGAGCTGCCTCGCTGGGGCTGCCGCGCCGCCGTCGGTCATGCTCTTTAGGTACAACGGTCGCTGCGCATCCAAGTTCAGTTATCTGTCTCAGCTGTCGCTGATCCCAGAACAGATCTTGAAGTGGGAATCTTCGGCGTTACACAAAGCATTGCATATGCCGCGGTTCACTTTTTCCGTTAGAACAGGTTTTAGCTGTGCGGCAGTGGTCGAAGTTCCGTCCGATCTCGCCTCGGGCCCGAAGCGTAGCTGCCCTAATGAGGTCTGCCCGCCAGACATTCACCAACTGGCGTGGTCTTTGGGCGCGTCTTCGGAAAGTGGCGGAACATAAGCCCTTGCCTATAACGTCCTGTCTGCGAGGTTGCGGGTGCCCTCAGCAGAGGCTTCGCATGCCCTTTGTTCAAGAGCTGGCCAGAGCGAGTGCCGGTTTCCCGGGGTCGGCCCGCTTGCGGGCCCCTGTCGCTGTGGCGGTGAAGGCTCCTGGCGGGGCGCTGCGTGAGGGCCCCGGGGCCGCGGTGCAAAAGACTCGGACCAAATCGCTCAAGGGCGTTTCTCTTAACCTGTAAATCTGGTCCTGACGATTGGAGAGGCCTGACGGCCGGTGCCGCCGACCCTGATCGAAAGGGCTAGGAGTGGGGGGAGGAAGCGGAGGATGAGGAGGAGGAGGAGCAGGAGGAGGAGGAGATCTGGTCCTGACGATCCTCAAGCTCTTGGAGAAGTGGGCAGCCCGCCCTCCCTCCAGGCAGGCCCCCGCAGGCTGCGCCTGGCCGCTGCTTCGCGAATGCCTTAGCAAGCAACCTCCTGCATACAGTGGGGACCCATGCCAAGAAACACCCTGCTTGCCCCCAGGATGCCCTGGGTTTCTTGGGTTTCCATGGTTTTGCCATAGAAAGCGTGGCGTTCCGGCGCCAAAAATCGGTGGAGGTCCTGGGGTCTCAGGGTTGGGTTTCTTGTGGAAGGTTTCTTGTGGTCGGGCCTCCACTGTAGCAGAGCTCGGTCCTGAAAGCGTTGGTGGGTGGTTGGGCGACGGAGCGGCGGATGAAACAGACCGACTGTCTCTGCAAATTCGGTTGCTTTGATGCGGTGGATGCGCAAGCGCATTATATGACGTGCTGTGGGGCGCCGTTCGATCCGTCTGATGCCCAGCTGTCCTGGTCGAGGTGGTCTTGGATCGTCGGCTCGGGCTGGCTCGAGCGATGACCGAGGAGCATCGACTACTATCGATTCAGAGGCTTGGTTTGAGTTCTTATATTTATATTTCGATCAAGGGACAGTGCAGGGTGGATCAGAGTGTGCTGGCAATTCATGCGCGACCCGCCAAAGCGCAGCTTGTGCAACAGGTGGAAAGCGATGATGACGAAGGGATTACGTCTTCTGGGCTACGTGCGAGGACAAATCTGGACTTGGCCTTCGAGACCGACCGCCAGGCCCAGACGACGGGCGGCGACAAGGCGGCGATGGGGCGGAGACGGATGCAACATAGCCGCCAAACCAACCGCCGGGCCCAGACGACGGGTGGCGACAAGGAGGCGACGGGGCTGCGACGGTTGCAACATAGCCGCTAGACGCACCGCCAGTGCCAGTTCCCAGAACAGAAGTAGGAACCCCTAGCATCGGCGCCCAGGTCCAGGATCGGTGGATACGTTGGGCTTCACCAGGAACATGCATACGTACATCGATGATCCTCAAGACGTATGTCAGCCCAGTGTTTACCCCGCTCGGCATCCGTCGGCCACTGCTGCGCCGCCTGCATCGTGCTGACGTGCTCGGGGTGGGCACGAGCACACGGTGGCGCCAGCCCGCGCTCTGCTGCTCGCCTGGCACGGCGATCCTGGGCTCGCACTCGGCCCGGCCCCCCCTTGCAGGCCCAGGCGCAGATCCGGGAGGCGGGGCCCCCGGACGCGGTCCCGTGCGAGCCCTACCCGGCCACGTGGCGGGTGCGCGCGGGGGTCCCTCCAGGCCCGGTGGCCGCCGGCGGGCCGTTCTCGGAGGCGCGGGGCGGACGCGAAGGGGGAGAAGCCTAAGCAGGCCAGCCTTCAACATGGGGGAGCTGTGGCCCTTACCCCCCTGGGGAACCCATGGATTTCGACACCCCTCTCGAGAGATCGTCGAGGCGATGGGTTCCCTCAGGGGGGCAGGGACCACAGCTCCCCCAGTGATGGCTGGTCGGGGAAGGACTTGGGGAGAGGGTGCAGGAAAGAGCTTTTGAGCCCCCTGGCGATGACGGGCGTGCCCGGAGGGGGAAAGGACCGGCATTTTCGTCACGGCTCGCGGCGGCGCCGTCTGGGAACGCCAACGTGTAGCTATGTCCCACGGCATCGGCGCGAATCGTGTCGTGACCAGGGAGGGGGGGGGTGAGGGAGGAGGGGGGCGGGGCCGGTCGCGGGCGTTATCGCGAATCATAGGTATTGCCGCTCCGCGTATCCCCACCAGCCCATGGAAAACGGATCCCTGGGCGAGATGCCGTGATCAGGGAAGTGGAGCAATGCGCAGTGGAAGAGCGAGGTAGCCCCCATATATGCCTTCGCCGCTCTGTCGAAGGAGAAGGACAAGGGGGAAGACGACGAGAAGTAGCTGGGGAAGGGGGATGAATCTGAGTGTGAAGGTGAACATGATGATGATGCCGATACTGATGCTGATGCTGCTGCTGATGCTGATGCTGCTGCTGATGATGATAACGATGGTGGTGGTGGTGGTGGCGCTGCTGCTGCTGCTGCTGCTGATGATGATGATGATGATGATCATGATGATGATGATGATGATGATGATGATGATGATGGCGATGATGATGATGATGATGATGATGATGATGATGATGATGATGATAACGATGATGATGATGATGATGATGATGATGGTGATGGTGATGATGATGATGATGATGATGATGAAGAAGATGATGATGATGATGATGCTGATGATGATGATGATGCTGATGATGATGATGATGATGATGATGATGATGATGCTGATGCTGATGATGATGATGATGATGATGATGATGATGATGATGATGATGATAATGATGGTGGTGGTGGTGGTGGTGGTGGTGGAAGTGGTTGTGGTGGTGATGACGAGGAGCAGCAGGAGTCTGAGGATAATTATCAGGAGGAGGAGGAGGTGGGGGAGAAGAGCCAAAACCGAGAGAACGAATTGCTTGACAGGGAACCTGAAACATCATCCTGTTCTTCGACGGGAATGGGAAGCTGAAGAGTTTCCGTGTCCCGTTCGAGAGTTGCCAGAGAAGGGAACTCGTCCGTCTACGACGACGACGGTGGGGAGGGGGACGAGGGCGAAGACAAGGAGGAGAAGAAGGACAAGGACAAACACGATGACGATTATTTGGGAGTGGAATGGACGCTGACGAGGACGACGAGGGGAAGGAGGAGGAGGAGGAAGACGAGGATGAGGACGACGGGGATAATGAGAACGACGAGGAAGATGAGGAGCATGAGTAGGAGGAATATGGGAAGGAAGGAAGGGGAGAGGAGGAGGAGGGGGAGGAGGAGGAAGGAGTAGGAGGAGGATGAGGAGGAGGAGGAGGAGAAGAAAGATGAGTTTGAGGAGAAGGAAGAGGACGAGGATGAGGGCGGAGATTAGGACGAGGACGAGAACGAGGAGGAGATTATTGACGAGGGCAGAGGAGAAGGAAGACCAGTGTCAACCCAAGACTCATCAACGAATATTGCAATAAACTCTCCCTCCAAGTTCCCTCTACATAGACCCCATACAGTGGTCCATTTTTACTGAGGGAAGTGATCCGTTGGACGACAACCGTTTGAAAAGCAGGAACTGTGCCAGAACACCATTCCTCGGACCTGAACGCCGCGAATCACCGTTCCTGTTGCGTGTTGACAACCCTGAATCGTGCCAGGGAATCCTTCCTGGGACCTCAGCACCACGAATCAACGTAACTGCTGCGCCCTGACAGTCCGACATCGTGCCAAAATACAACCTCTGGGACGTTAGCCATGATACTCCTTGAGACGGTTGTAAACCTTTAAGACGAACTTGCGTGGCGCTAGGGAGAGGGCCACATGTTGTAAACCACCCGCCCTTCATCCGGGAAGCTCTTGCATGTTTTAAGGCGACTGTACGCGGCGCTAAGGCGCGATCAACATTTTGAACACCACCCGCCGTCCATCCGTGAAGCTTTTGCATTTCCAAGAGGAGTGCGCGCGGCGCCAAGGCGAGAGCCCCATTCTCAAGACGGCCTGCCCATCCTTCCGTGTGAAGCCCTGGCAGATGTTCAGCTTACGGATCCTAGATGATGATGAAGTCTGAGGCGAAACGCCCGGCCCGCCCTACATATACGCCTCTTGCCGAAAACCTATGCGCAATGGCGGTTGTGGAGACCGTCATGGTGTCTGGTGGGCCTGCACACACCTGGTCCCCGCCGTCCTGGACGGGTGGATGTCAGGATGCCAAGCGGCCACGAGGCCAGGATGCCTGGATGATAACATGACAAGATTCCAGGATGCCAGGAAGGCCATGGTGCCAGGATGCCAGGCGGCCAGGATGCCAGGATGCCAGCATCACAAGATCCTAGTAGTCCTGTGCAACCTGTGCGGCCTGTGGCAAATGCGGGACCTATGGGACCTGTGGGGCATTTGGGACCCGTGCTACCGGTGGGACTTGTGGGGCGTGTAATGCATGTGGGAATTGTGCGACCTGTGGGAGTTGTGACGCCAGTACCACCTACGGGGCGTATGGGACTTGTGAGTCCTGTGGGAATTTACGACGTGTGCTAGCAGTGGGACCCTTGAAACCTGTGAGGCCTGTGGGACCTGTGCGACCTGTGGGGCGTGTTCAACTTGCGGGACCTGTGTGACCAGCGGGACTGTCAGAATTGTGGCGCCTGTGCCTGGATGTCGGGGATGCCAGAGATGCCAGAGATGCCAGGGTGCCAGGGATGCCAGAGATGCCAGGATACCAGGGATGTCAGGATCTGCGCGCGAAATCAATGCCAGGAGTGAAGTAATGGGAGCACGAATATTGCAAAGTGACTTACAGTTGGTTCTCGATATTCACAGCCAGACCGAGGAGCGGAGTTCTGGGAGTCCGAGGAGCCCGAGGTGGCCTACAGTTGCCTCCGCACACTCAGAACCAGTCCAAGGAGCGGGGTTCTGGGAGCACGAAGACCCCAAAGTGGCTTGCCCCAGACGTGCAAAATCAGCCACAGGAGAGGAGTCCTGGGGGCACGAAGAGCCCGATGTGGCCTGCAGTTGCCTCGAGACGTTCGAAGTTAGTCCGAGGAGTGGGGCTTTTGGGGCATGTAGAGTCCGAAGTGGCTTGCAGTCGGCTCCGGGACTTCGAAATCATGGCTGGGGGTGGAGTTATGGCAACTCGGTGATCACAACAGATGTGTTTTGGGAGGGTACTCCGATGGCCGCCTCGGATTGGTAACGTGAAGCGGGGGGGCCCATTTGGAGGAGGCTCCCGTCTGAGACATCCTTCCTCCCAATTCGGTAGCCAGGATTGGGAGTGGAGTGTGATGGTGATGAGATGATAGTGACGGTGATGATCGCGATGCTGTGGTGAGTGTGAAGAGAAGGGAGCAGGAGAGGGTGAGGTGTTCTTGCCTGCGCGGGGGGGTCCAGACAAAACAAGAACCCTTTTTAGGATGCGGAGAAGCAGCGGGCTGCAGTGGACACCACCAAATAAGGAGCTGGCTTGCTAACGGGTGCCCCGCGAGTGTTTCTCCTCTCCCGATGGGCCCGCCGATTCCTCGAGCGACTAGCGATTCTCGGGGTCGACCAGGGACGCGCCCCTCGATCTTGTCACGGGGAGACCTCTCATCCTCTGGTGCCTGCTGTGCGACATCTGCTGCGTGCGGCCGGCTTCGGCTTCGGCCCCGCCGCCACGGCTATCCTCTGGACGCCCGACATGGGCACGGAAAGAATGGGTACGATGCCCAACAGCAGTTCCTGTTCATCTTGAACAGGATTCGCTGTCCACGCCGCCGCGGCCTGTGTCCATTCGAGACAGAGGGCCGGCTGCCCAACAGCGGCCGCTGTCGGTTTGGGACAACATTTGTTGTTGGGCATTTTTTCGGGCGTCCAAATATCCGATGAGCACGGGCGCTTCCCGGCTTCGAGGCGGGCAGCTGTGCCCACGGGCAGGCCCGCTGCGGCCGGGAGCTCGGGCCGAGCGCGCGCCGCTCCGCCTGGGGCTCCGGCCCGCCGCTCCTCGGCGCGGCGCGCCGGCCACGGCCCGGGCCTCCACCTTGGGCGCCGCTCGGACGCGTGCACATTTTAGGGGGCCACATGCGAACCCTACCCCTACCCCCCACGAATTCTGAGGGGGAGGGTGGGGTCCACTTCGCTCGGGAGCTCCCGAGCGAAGTGGACCCCGCCCTCCCCCTCTGAAATCGTGGGGGGTATAGGGGTAGGGTTCACACGTGGCCCCCTAATTTTTTCTCGGCGAGAGCCAGCGAGGACCATCCTGGAGCATCGAGCAAGCAAAAGTACGCACGAAACCGACACGTGCACGGGGAATGGGCGTCCGAGCGACGGCGAGTCCAGCGCCAGCGTCCCGACGTCGTCCCTGGTGCCCCGCCCCGCGCAGCGGAGCGACGCGCCAGCCGCTCGCGTGACGCAGAGTGCCGCCGGGGCGGCCGCCGTGGCACGCCGAGGACGAGTTCCTGGCCGTGGCCCGCCCCTGTGCTGACCCAGACCTGCGACGATGCGCTTCCTGCAGCCCGCGGCCTGGGAGGTCCTGACCCCTTCCCTGCGGGTGATCTTCCGCCCTGGGCAAGCTTCTGATGGCCCCGGGTGCCTGACAACCGCCCCTGGATGTTGAAATCGGGGGAAGCCGCTGGGGTTGAAACAGCACGCCGTCGGAGATCACCACCCCATCGAATGATCCTTGCGACGCACTTGCCCATCCCTGGCGCATCAAGTGGTCGGGACAGTTGGGAGTTATTGTTGTCGTGTGGATGCCCACATGCCAAGAGCCGCCGTGTGTCGTGAGAGCTGTGAGGGAGGCTCGCGCGCTGCACGACTCGCAGGGCACCGATTGAATGACAAGGGTATGTAAGGGAGGTCCGCGCTGGGCCCCCCAGCAGCCCTCGAGGGCGGCGGCAGTTTCACAGTTTTGCAGCCCTCCCAGGGATGGCGAGGCCCAATCTGCGTCTGGGTGTGGCGTCACTGCGCCGACAACTCCTGGCAGGTAGCCCTCGAAAGTGGGGATGGTTTTGCAGATCGCAGCCCCCCCAGGGATGACGAGGTCCAATCTGAGTCCCCGTGGGCCCGCACTGTGCTGCGTCCCCCAGCAGGCCTCGAAGGTGGCACTATCGCAGATCGCAGCCCCCCAGGGATGGCGAGGTGTAATCTGAATCCCCGTGGGCCCGTACTGTGCTGGACCCCCCAGATGTCCTCGAATGTGGCGACGTTTTTGCAGATCGCAGCCCTCCAGTGATGGCGGCTCGCATTGTGCTGCACCCCCCAGCGGGCCTCGAAAGTGACGGCAGTATTGCAGATCACAGCCCCCCAGGGATAGCAAGGTCTAAGCTGAATCCCATGAAGGCCCACACTGTGCTGGACCCCCCAGCATGCCTCGGACATGACGGCAGTTTCGCGGATCGCAGCGCCCCTGGGATGGCGAGGTTTAATATGAGTCTTTGTTGGCCCGCATTGTGTTGCGCCCCCCAGCCGGCCTCGAAGGGTGCGATAGTTTCGAAGATCGCAGCCCCCCAGGGATGGCGAGGTCTAATATGAGTCTCCGTTGGCCCGCACTGTGCTGGACCCCCTAGCAGACCTCGAAACTTGTGACTGTTTTGCAGATCGCAGCCCCCAGGGACACACCCAAATGAGCAAGGACAAACTACTGCAGCATGCGACTGGGACTGCCGGGGACTGCAGGACGCCGAAATGGTGGGACGTCGGCATGCGGACCATGCCACTGGAGCTCTCGGTGGAGCTCCCTGTGGGACCACGAAACATTTGAGGGGTCTGCCGACATGGTCGGAACGGCGTCATGTGGACCTGGCCACTGGACCCTCGGTGGGGCTCCATATGGGGTCACGAACGTGCAAGGGGTGCGCCGTAATTTGTCGCGGCGGCGGCATGCGGACCCTGCCGCTGGAGCCTTCGGTGGAGTTCCCAATGGGGTCATGCTACTCGTGAGGGGTGTGCCGAAATGATCAGGGCGGCGGCGAGCTATCGTTTTGATTTGGGTAGGACCGCACCCCGCTGGACCTCCCAGCAGCCCACGAACGCTGTGACAGCTGCGCAGTTCGCAGCCCCCCCCCAGGGGACGGAGGGCCATCATTCTGTTCTGGGTTGGACTGCACTGCGCTGGGCCTCAAGGAGCCCACGAAAGCGACGACGAGTGCTGCTCGCAACCCCCTCCAGCGGATGGTGGGCTACCGTGCTGGTCTGGGTAGCGCCACACGGTGCTGGACCTCCCGGGTAGGACCGCACTACGCTGGAATTCTCACGAGCCCACGAACACGGCCACGGTTGCGCGGTTCGCAGCCCCCCCCCCAATGGGACGGATGATGATGATGATGATGATGATGATGATGATGATGATGATGATGATGATGATGATGATGATGATGATGATGATGTTGATGGTGATGGTGATGGTGATGGTGATGATGATGATGATGTTGATGGTGATGATGCTGATGATGATGGTGGTGATGATGATGATGATGCTGATGCTGATGCTGATGATGATGATGACGATGACGATGACGATGATGATGATGATGATGATGATGATGATGATGATGATGATGATGATGGTGATGTGTGGTGTTGGTGGTGGTGGTGGTGGTGATGATGATGCTGATGATGATGATGATGATGATGATGATGATGAGGAGGAGGAGGAGGAGGAGGAGGAGGAGGAGGAGGAGGAGGAGGAGGAGGAGGAGGAGCGATCGTTCCGATCTGGGCAGGGCCGCCCCGCGCTGCGCCTCCCGGGGTCCACGAACGCGGCGCCCGTCTCGCGCTTCGCGGCCACCCGTGGCTGGCGAGGCAGCAGACAGGTAGGAGGCAGGTGGGAGGCAGGAAGGGGGAGGCAGGCAGGTAGGAGGGGGGAGGTAGGAAGGGGGAGGTAGGCAGGGGGAGGCAGGTAGGAGTAGGTAGGAGGTAGATCGGAGGCAGGTAGGAGGTAGGCAGGTAGGTAGCAGACAGGCAGGGGGGGAAGAGAAGGAAGCAGGCGGGAGGACGGAGAGACGCGACCGCAGCGCTCTGTTCAAAGCGAGAGCCCAACACGGGAAGGTTGGACACGCATCGCATCGTCGGAGACCCGGGTGCGTGCTCTGATTCGCTAACCCCTCCCCCTGCTACCCCCACCCTTCTCTTCGCCCTTTTCCAAGAGGCCGCGCGCATGCGGGTGCTCGACGGGGCGGCCGCGGCGGCGGTGGCGGAGGATCGGGGGCATGCCTAAGCTGGGGGCGGAAAAAGTGGAGATGGCGCCAGGGGGGGCATCGCCGATAGATCTGCGACAGGCGCTGGATAGCGAATCCGGGCGCTCCCAGGCGGAGGGGGCTATCGGGCTTCGATCGGCGATGAATGGGCGATTGGGTGTCGATGCATTCCTCCCGAGGCTAGCGGTGGTCTTCGGGTCATAGTTCGGCTCTCTGGCGGTCGTTCGAGATGGTCCAGGCACCCCTGGAACGCTCTCGGCTTGCGTGGCGCAGTTGCTGGAAAGTATCACGAGGACGACACATGCCGAAACACGTTCAACAACCTCGAGCCTCGAATGCCAGTTTCCCTCGTCCCCATTCTGCCCTTGCCCCCCCTCCGTCCGCGGCCGAGCCAGGAGGAGGAAGAAGAGGAGCAGGAGGAGGATGACCAGTGCAAACCCAAGAGTCACCAACGATGTTGTAATAAACCCTCCCCCTAAGCTCCCTCTTCATAGGCCCCTACAACGGTTCATTTCCACAGAGGGACCTGCCTCGTTGGAAGAAAACCGTTTGAAGACCCTGACGCATGTCAAAACATTGTTCTCGGGATTCCAACGCCACGGATAAACCTGACTGTTGCTTCTTGACGGTCCTGAACCGTGCCAGAACGCCATTCCTGCGACTTCAACACTGCGGATCATCGTAATTGTTGCGCCCTCATAATAATCGTGAGTCCTTCCAGAACGCAATTTCTGGTACATCATGGGAATCCGCGAAACCCTTGCAATTGTTTAACAAGAGTGTGCGCGTCGCTAAGGCGAGAGCCACATGTTGAAAAGGAACCGCCTTCAATCCGTGAAACTCGTCCAAATTTTGAAAACTAATGTGCGCGGCGCTAAGGCGAGAGCCACATTTTGAAAACGACCAGTCTTCAATTTGTGAAGCTCTTGCAAATTTTGAAAACGAATGTGCGCGGCGCTAAGGCGAGAACCACATTTTGAAAACCACCCGCCCTCAACCCGTGAAACTCTTGCACATTTGAAAACGAATCTGCGCGGCGCCAAGACGAGAGCCACATTTTTGAAAACCACCCGCCCTCCATATGTGAAACTGTTGCCAATGTTTAAGCTGCAGGGTCATAAATGACGAGGAAGTCTCATGCGAAACGCCCGGCCCGCCCTAAAACTGGCCTCGGGGTGCGACAGGGAGAAGTTATTTATAAGGAAAATAAATGGAATGGGAGGATGAGGATGAGGAGAAAGAGGAGGAGGCGGAGGAGGAGGAGGAGCAGGAGGAGGTGGAGGAGGGCGGCAGTCGACTATTCCTCACTCCACTATGAACCAGGAGCCAGGAGGGGGAGGAGGAGGAAGAGGAAGAGGAAGAATTGGAGTTAGAGGAGGAGTTGGAGGAGGAGTTGGAGGAGGAGTTGGAGGAGGAGGAGGAGGAGGAGGAGGAGGAGCTGTTCCCCCACTCGGGGCGAACCTCCCGGCCCGGGCCTCGACACGGGGGCGGGGAATCCCGAAGCGGGCGATGGCCAGGCGCGGTGCCCGCCGCGCCATCGCGGACGAGGTGCCCGCGACGGAGCGCGATACCGACGGGTGCGGCAACTTGCTGAACGCCAGCGCCGCTTCCACGGCCAAGAGCAGAGCCAGAAGCTGAACAGCGGCTTACGAGACCACCACCAGCCCACGCAGTCAGGCGAGACGCCGAGACCGACCCGCGAGCCTCGCGGAGGACGGCGCCCCGTTGGGCACGCGGCGACGCGCCGTCTCGCGCACGCTGTGCGGAAGGGGCTTGCTCTCCCACCCAGGAACATCGTTGCTCCCATCGCGAGCGAGCACGCCACCGGTCGGAAGGACTGGCGTGAAGAGGGTGACTCGCATAAGAAGTAATGGCATGTTTGGCGTCAGTGGTGCCGACGCGAGTGGCAGCCTCGGCGCCCCACTTCAGCCGAAACCAGCACCAACGCCGACCCCGACATCATCATCGCCAGCAGGGACGCCGACGCCAACGTCACACCGGCGAGGCCCCCCTGGCAACCGGGACCGCTCCGCGGGCGCGGCCTCCGAGGCGCTCCGCAGGGGGGCGCCCGAGCTCGTGCGCAGCCTCCTCTCCGACGCACCCTTCGGCGCCGCCGCCCGCGGCGAGGGCGAGACGGAGGAGGCGAGAGAGAGCGGGGCCCCGGCGCCCCCGCAGCCCGGGCTCGCGGCCGCTCGCCCCCCCCCAGCCTGGGTGGACGAGGGGGGGCCAGGCCAGGGTGTGCGCGCGCCGTTCGCTCCGCCCCTCCCTTGCCCGGGGGCGCGTCCTCGCCGCCGCGTGCGATGGGGGAGGGGCGGAAAAGAGGGGGGTGATGATTAGGGGGGGTGGATATCATGGCGGGGGCCATGATATCTCCTCAGATTTCATGGCGCCTCTTCTTATTTCATTGCGTCCCTGGTCCCCCCGCTGGGCCGCGCACATGCCGCCGGTCATGATTTGCACCCCCCCTCTTGGACGCCCCCCTCTTTGCCGCTCCCGAGATGGGGGAGGGGAGGAGGTGGAGGGCCACGAGGACCTTGGCTCTGGCGAGACGGGCCGCGCCGAGGAGGAGCGGGGGGGCTCTGCCAGCGACGACGTGGACAGCGGAGGGGATGGGGTTCAGCATCGGCATCTCCAGCTTCGGCGCGGGCGCCCGCGGCGCGGGCGTTGGCGCGGGCCCCGACGAGGGGGGAGTAGACGAGGAGGAGGGCTTCGCCACCGACGTCGGCAACTACGGGGACATCAGCGACTCCCCAGCGGCAGCGGCTGGGACGGCGGTTCCTGTGAGAGGCTTCCTCCGAGGCGCCCGACGGCGCCCGCGATTCGCCGACGAGCCGCGAGCATTTTCATTCAAGGTTGTCGTCCGACGCGCGCACTTCTGATCGTGCATGCGTCCTTCCTCTCCTTTTCTCTCCCCCTCTCCTTCCTCTGCCCGCTCTGCTTCCGCGCAGCCGCCTCAGACCTTGGCGCGCGAGGCCGCGGCAGTGGCCGCCTGCTGGCCGCCAGTCAGACCCTCGCTACAGTCGGGGCCCTGAAGAAGGAACCCTTTTCGTTGGGGCGGGGCTCCGTGTTCCTTGATTGTTTCGCAGCTTGCCTTAGGTTTTCCTTTGGTTTCGAAACGAAATCGAAGTTTAACTTATGGAAAACAGGGGCCTCGTTCCTTATTTAGGGTTCCTCAGGCCAACGCCTCGACTGTATTCCTCCTTTCGCTACATCCTTTCCCTCTGTTCTTTCGGACCCCTCTCGTCCCCCTCCCTGCGCTGAAGCTGCATCCGCGCAGCCGCCTCAGACGTGTCGCCGGGCGCCCTGCGAGGGCGGCGGCCGCGAGCCTGCCATCTGCCTTCCGCGCGCGATCCTCTGCGGCCGCGTCCGTGAGGGGCGCGACGGCCCCGTGGATCCACCCTTGCGCCAAAATTCTCGCGCCGACGGCAGCGTCGCATCCTGATGCCGCAAGAACGTCGCGCAGCATCGCAACGCACTGACGAGGCGTAACAGGGGGCCAGCGCTAACCCCGTGGAGAACTTCAAAGCATGCCAGGGCCGAGTGGAGGTGAGCGGCGCACCGCCAGACCCCAGGGCCCCCAGCGGGCAGGGGCCGCGCGCGGCCGCCTGGAGCCTGTTTCTTGGCATCGCTCGGACGTGTGCATGTTTCCTTCGGCGAGGACCGTCGAGGAGCATCCTGGATCATGTGGCGAAGAAGCCACGCGCGAGGCCGAACAAAAAGAACAGGGGATGGACGTTCGAGCGATGGCGAGGTGTGAGGGTGCGTGTCTTTCGGCCGCTTCTGCTGTCCTGGCCGGGCCAAGGCAGAAGGAGGGGCCAGGGCAATCGTGCCGCCAGGCGGGAGGAGGGGCCAGGCTGACCCCTCCGCCTGCACGGTGGCGCAATTCGCTACAACGGCACCCCTGTGCCGTCAGCCCTCCGCCAGCGCAGTTACTCTGCCTTGCCGCCGACGCCAAGAGTGTGTGAGTGTGTGTGTATGTGTGTGTGTGTGTGTGTGTACAGGCCTCCCAGATGGGGTCCAAGCAGATGGGGTCGGAGGATGATCGCTCCGCATCGCCGACGCAGCGGCGATGCGGCTCGATGTGTAGCCCGCTGTTCTCCACGCCGACGTCGCCGATGCATCGCCGACGTCGCCGGTGCATTGCCGGTGCATCGGCGATGCTTCGGCATCAGAGGTGCGGCGCGATCCTCCGACTCCATCTAGTCGGACCCCAAGCCTCTAGTGGGGGAAGGTTGCGGGTTCGAGGTGCTCGGTTTTCGGATGCCTTCGTCGGTTTCCAGCGGTTCTGCAGCCTCGGTGTGCTCTCCATCGGCTGCGCCACGCCGGAAGCGCTCCGGGGGTGCTGGGATCGTCCCGAACAGCCGCTGGAGGCCCGGTTTATGGCCCAGAAGCCAGACAGGTCGAGGACCGCGGTCGGAGTCGAAGATCGCGGGCAACGCTCGGGGGGGATGAGTGGGCTCAGGGGGGATGCCTCGACCCTGCCTTGCCTGGCGAAACAGCCACGCGCGAAGCCGAAGAAAACAACAGGGACTGGACGGCCGAGCGATGGCGAGGCTCCACCGCGAGCGCACGGCGCAGGAAGGCTAGGCACGCCGAGGCCGAGCGCGCCGGCGCCCCCCGCACCCCCGGAGCCCTGGTGCGCGAGGCTGTGGCGGTGTTACGTCGGGCGTGTCCCCCTACAGGGGGCTTGTGGGCGAGAAATCGATACGCAAAAAGATGCCCCCCAGATGTGAAACAATAGCCAAGACATGGTCCCCAGACTATTGGTCGACTATTGTTGAAGATTCCCCGTGTAGTAGAGGGACAGGCCCGATTTAGTGACAGTGGCGCGTGGCCACCAGTGGGGCACTCGCCCTGCCTCCTTTCGGTACATATTGTCCTTCTCTTTTGTACCTCTGCGCCACTCCTCGGGGGCTCTCCCCTGTCCAGCCGCCGCGGCAGCGGCGGCGCTACAGACCGATGAGACGAGGCGGGGGAGTGTGCCAGAGGAGGAGGAGGATGAGGAGGAGGAATAATGATATGATCAAGATTTATAAGAAGAGTATTCAGAGCGGTAAGCATACGAATAAGACTACTACTAGTAGTAGTACGAATGCTAATCATACTACTGATAATTGCGAGCCTGCTAACAATAAGTATACTACGAATAGTATTACTTACCAGAAAAAACATTCGATAATAATTGTGAATAATACCTATACGACCACCCTTCGGGTGATAAGGAGGTTCGGGGGGGGGGGGGAGGAACCAACGTCTCACTCGATCGGTCGCACTATCGATCTCACTATCGATCTCAGTATTGGTCTCGCTCGATCAATCTCCCTCGATCGATCTCACGATCGATCTCACAATCGATCTCACTCGATCTCACTCGATCTATCTCACACTCGATCTCACTCGATCATCATCATCATCATCATCATCATCATCATCATCATCATCATCATCGTCCTCATCATCATCAGCATCATCATCAGCATCACCATCATCATCATCATCATCAGCATCAACATCAGCATCAGCATCATCAGCAGCATCATCATCAGCATCACCATCATCATCATCATCATCATCATCATCCATCATCATCATCATCATCATCATCATCATCATCATCATCATCACCATCATCATCATCATCATCATCATCATCATCATCATCATCATCATCTCATCATCAACATCATCATGATCATCATCATCATCATCATCATCATCGCGGGACGCCGCGGGACACCGGCGGGACACCGCGGGGCACCGCGGGACACCGCGGGACACCGCGCACCGGCGGGACACCGCGGGCCACCGGCCGCCCGGAAGGGAGACATTTGGTCCGGCCGCGCCTCAGCCACACGGGACACCAGCGGGACACCGGCGGGACACCGCGGGCCACCGGCCGCCCGGAAGGGAGACATTTGGTCCGGCCGCGCCTCAGCCACAGGAGACTTTCTTCTCGCCCGCCCACGCAGCTTCGCCTCGCCCGCACGCACGGCACGCACGAACACGAAACCGAAATCGATTTCCCTGTAGGGGGGCTCTCCGTTTCACTTCGATCTCACCCCCTCACCTCCGATAATATTCTTAGCAACAATACTAACAATATTAATCATAAGAGGAGGAGGACGAGGAGAATGAACAGGAGGAGAACGAGGAGGCGGGACAAGGAGGAGGAGGAGGAGGAGGGACATGGAAGTGGAGGAGGAGGACGAGGGGGAGCAGGAGGAGGAGGAGGAGGAGGAGGAGGACGCTGGATGAACATCACGGACTTCAAGACGTTGGAAAAGTCCACGTCTGGATGACACGTCGGGAGCGGCTACGAGGGGGAGGGGGGGTGCGTATCATGGCCAGGGTTCTGTCGGGCGTGTCCCCGTGCAGGGGGATTTTGGACGAAAAATAAACAAATATTCAAAAGGGCCTCCCAAAGGCAACAAGCATACTCAAAAAATAGTCCCCAGAGTTTTTTGTCGGGATTTTTTTTTATTATCTTGGGTTATATATATATATATAGATTTCTTTCGTCGAAGATCCCCCTGTAGGGGGACAGGCCCGACCTAAGGCCAGGGCCATGATGGCTCGCCGGATCTGCTCTTTGCTTTCAACCCAGCACGCCATGACTTTTGCGAGCCTCTCCTCTTGTCGGCGGCGTGCCACAGGGGGGAACGAGAATAGGGCCACAAAAAGTGCCATAACATAAAAACTCGGATGTCCGCGCGGATTTCTCGGATCGGCGCTGGACCCCCCTCCCTGGCGCGCGGAGCGCGCCAGGGGCGTCGCCAGAGGCGCCGCCAGGGGACTTCAGCGCGGATCCGAGAAATCCGCGCGGACTTCCGAGTTTTTATGTTTATGCCATTTTTCGTTTCCCTAGAGGGGGCAGGCCTCCTCGGAAGGCGACGTGGCCTCTCGGAAGCCCTCCCGCCTTCTGGGACTCCCTCTGCGGTCTCGGGAAAAGACTCCGGAGGCTTCTCACGGCAGGCCGGAGGCATTCCGAGCCTCCTGAGAAGGCCCGCCCCCTCTCACCTCCCTCCCTGGGCGCGCGCTGCCGAACATCGCGACAGCCGGGAGGCAGCGGAGAGCGGTCCGCTTCCCGTGCAGCTGCGACGCCTGCGCGTCCAGGCCAGGGTCCACTTCCACTGCGA